TTTTAGGAAAAAAAGTTATATGAAGTACTGGTGATATTTTGACCCCATCTATACATTCCCGAGAGGAAAAGAGGAAGTTCAGGGACACCCTGTATATATAATTTCAAATAAAAAAAACACTTGTCAATGTCCATGAAAATAGATATTTTACGAGTTTTGATTATGTTCTAATACTTCTATTCATCAATAATACATTTTTGCACTCTCATGTATCATACTTGCGTGATTACTTAACTATGTTCATATGTTCATATTGTAATTTGATCTACATATCATTCCAAATGAATATATCATATAGTAACTTTTAGCACTTTCTGAACAGAAAAACAACACATTTTTCAGATATGATTATATTTTGTGAAATCTATACCAGTAACTTTGGATATCCAAGCAATATAAGATGAAACTCTGGTATAAACTGAATTGTTGAACGATATTTTGCATAATGGAAGGATGGCCAACCGACTTGTAATTCCAACTTGAATGTATTTTCCATTTTTGATAATCGTGAGTGGTCCTCCACTGTCGCCCTGAAAGTCAAATAGGTAATACGTATCAGGCAGTAAGAAATCTCACAGCCCTTGATGGCTTTGATTTGAAAAACATGTGTTCTATTTCACTTGTAGAAAACCAAATACTCTCTAATGACATACACATGTTTATAAAAAAATATGTCAACAAATAATAATATGTCTTATGTGATCATATCCCAGAACGTTGTGTAAATCTAGATGGGATGGCATTTGCTTCAACTCTTGAGTGAAAGAATAAACATTGTGCTAGGTCAAGATATTACTTCAAGATTGAAGTTCAAACGTTGAACAAATATAAAAATAATTTGTCAATCATACTTTACAAGCTTTTCCTTCTGAAATACTCGAACTGCAACATATTTCTGAATCGCTAGTGGAGCTCATTAAACATTTTTTGGCACTATCTATGTGGAGAATTGCTTTTCGCAATCTTGTTGCTTGCTGGTAATGATCTGGAACAATATTTTCGAATTANGGATATCCAAGCAATATAAGATGAAACTCTGGTATAAACTGAATTGTTGAACGATATTTTGCATAATGGAAGGATGGCCAACCGACTTGTTATTCCAACTTGAATGTATTTTCCATTTTTGATAATCGTGAGTGGTCCTCCACTGTCTCCCTGAAAGTCAAATAGGTAATACGTATCAGGCAGTAAGAAATCTCACAGCCCTTGATGGCTTTGATTTGAAAAACATGTGTTCTATTTCACTTGTAGAAAACCAAATACTCTCTAATGACATACACATGTTTATAAAAAAATATGTCAACAAATAATAATATGTCTTATGTGATCATATCCCAGAACGTTGTGTAAATCTAGATGGGATGGCATTTGCTTCAACTCTTGAGTGAAAGAATAAACATTGTGCTAGGTCAAGATATTACTTCAAGATTGAAGTTCAAACGTTGAACAAATATAAAAATAATTTGTCAATCATACTTTACAAGCTTTTCCTTCTGAAATACTCGAACTGCAACATATTTCTGAATCGCTATTTGAGTTCATTAAACATTTTTTGGCACTATCTATGTGGAGAATTGCTTTTCGCAATTTTGTTGCTTGCTGATAATGATCTGAAACAATATTTTTGAATTACAAATATCACAGGTTTCGGCAACCTCAGGAAATATGTAATCCGCCATTTTGTAGATGCAGCCACCTTGAATTTCCATTTTTTAAGTTCATTACTATTCTACTAGTCAAGCCCTTTCATTTGATACACATACAGAATAGTTTATTTGAAAGTAAATCTCTATATTTCTGAAAGAAATATAGAGTCAAATAGCAAATAATCTGGTATTTTTGTATTATAAATGATATTTACCCACCATTGATGATTCCAAATCCAGTCAAATAGGCTCGTTTTCCAATAAGAGATTCTCTGTTATCCGTATGAAGTTTGACAACTTTAACATTAGCATTCAATCTGGCATTCGATTTTAATTTTATCAATCCGATATCATAACCACTCGTAGATTCGAAGTAACCTTTATTGATGGCTAATTTTTCAGCTTTTATTCTCTGAGCACCCTTTCCATTGGTATAAATGCTTCCTAAGGCCACTTGAATTATATTTCTGAAAAATATTTCAAAAAATAATTTTGGCAATTTTTTTGCTTGGTGTATCAACTGACATTGGAAATGGTCGGCCATCCTGCTCCAAGCAATGAGCAGCTGTCAAAATCCATCGAGGATGTATCAAACTACCCCCGCAAATTTTTACAATATAATTGATTATTTTTCTGTCTGTTTAAAATCTGTTTTTTCGTTAACCAGCTGTCGCACCCCTACGAACGACAACCCTCAGAAGTCGAAACTTGTGCGAGCTAAGGATTAACGAGGTCTTACCTTTTAACATGTGATTCCTAGCACGGGTTGGACGATAGCAAGTGAAGATCGATGGTTCAGACTAGGGCTTGAACCACCGACCAACACGGCAGTCAATTCGAGTGAGTGAACGAATCACCCACGCCGAAGCGCTTGGCTACCGACCGACCGATTTGACCGACCGACCGATTTGATTTGATTATTCATTTTATTGTTTGAAATTGACTTCAGCATTTGGGGTTTTATCACAAGCATATGATAGTGCATTGGATTATCCCAAGGATAAAACACAAGCTCTACAGCAAAATCCTTGAGGCACTCTAAGAGTGGTGCCTGTGCGAAAGTAGCGATTCACGTTGAATTTTAATCGCTGGAGATTCATTTGGGAAAACGTTCTCAGGAATTTATACCATATGAACGCAGTTCTCCAAATGGAAGAGTTCTCAAACAGATGTACTGAGATGAACCTCAAAACGATGAACAGCCACATTCCGTCGCATATTTCTGATATGTTCCGCTCTTGGTGGAATCAAATATGCGAAGTTACTGAAACACCTCCCGTGAACGTATCTATAAAACTTTGATAAATATCCAACCTTTCATCGATGTTTCAAACTATCAAGGCTGCAAGTAATGTTCGTGTCTCTAATCAGTCAGATGGTTCTTTCTGAATGGAATCCAGCAGCTTCTGAGTATGCTTAGAGGCCGAGCTCCATACATGTGAACAAAATTCGAAGATAGGTCTGATTTGAGCTTCATACAGCATCAAAATTTGCTGGGGATTGTACAGTCTTCTGGTTTGAAACAGTATTTGGGAAGCAGCCTTTGCAATTCCAGCGACATGATTGTGCCAAGGCATATTGGTGTCCATTTCAACCCTCCTAACAAACTTATCGAACCGGATATAATGATATTATATCCGGTTCGGAGACATTTATCTTTTTGGAGAAAACAGATGCCTGGGTTTTCGTGTCATTGAATTGAACCTGATCACTTTCACTCCAATTCGAGATCACCTCTAGATCCTCATTGAAATATGCAACCTCCTGCTGCCGGCGAAGATGTGCATCCACAGTCGATATCCTGGTATCCAAATGGAATGACGAAACGGGTGTGCTATCGTCAGTAAAGTAATATATTTGATTCTTGTTGTTCCCATTAAAGGGTTGTAGACAATATGGATTCCTGGGGAACACCAGCGTTGATAACATAAGGGTTCGGTTATCTGGGACTGATGTGGAAATTGATAACAATATTTCATACTACACAATATACATACTATTTGGCTTTGATGTTACTTCAGAGGTTTCTTTTTAAGTAGGTGACTCAATGTTATGAGAAACAAAATGCAAGTTGGGATGTTCAACTCAGTTGATAGACACGTTTCACAACCTAATGGTATGTCTCACATCATGGTATGTCTGAGTATTATAACATGATGAACTGAAGGACACTTCCAAAACGCATAACCTCATCCAATTGATGATAGCAGCATTCATCAAGAAAATCAAGATAAGATAAGAGATTCAATTGTTGGGTACAACAATTGTACATGAACAAATCATGGGTTATTTCAGTAAAATCTAAGGTGGAACTAAGCGAAAATATTGCATTACTAGTGGAAAGATTCCATAGCCAATGTAAATTATGTGGATCATGAACTTCGAAAAGCTGAAAGATCAGATTGTATGATGGTAAGAGGTCGAACACATAATAACGAGGACATGTTTGAACAGCAGAATAACTACTGCCAAAAGCTGTAGTACAAGAATGTCAATGTTCAAGAGGCGTCGCACTATAAAAATCATATACGTAGTACAATTGTGAGGATATAGAGAGAATTATATAGACCTGTGAACGAAGAAGGAGATTAGAAAAAGCAAGAAGAAAGACAATGATATGAAGCTGGTTCAACAATGAAGTTCGACCCGATCGGCACTAAGTTGCCAAGTATGGTGCAGATGTCGAAGTTTTCAGGGTGTTATGGGGTTCTCTATGTCTATGCGAGGGCTTATTGTATATCAATTGAGGGAGCATAACTTTGGCAATGATGGTGCGTAAACTGGTCTTGATAATAATAATAATAATAATAGCTTTACTGTCCAACAGTTACCCAAATAAAATAGTCATACATAAAAAAGGTCTTACCCAGATCACACGTGAAAGATATGCTGAAATAACTCCATAACATGAAACTTTGACATAAACAATTCTGGCATGAATTGAGAAAGACTCGTACCAAAATTCTTGCTGGCATACAAGGCTACATGCTTTTCTCAAAAGGTGCTCGTAACCAGAAGGGGAATGAAACTACCGTTGGTTCTACTCCTTGGTTTGTTACCAAAAACACGCATACCGAGTTTGAGAAAATCGGGTAGTGATCAAAATGTCCATGAATTCACGAAACAACATCTACAAACTACCACCAATCGAATGGAAAAACGATAGAATTAAATGAAGACGAATAGGAGAAGAGTTCGTGTAATTGTTCAAACCTCAGAGAAACAGAGAATCTGTCCAAAATTACAAAGGAGATGAAAGAGTTTCTACATGGTAATCAAGAAAATGAGCGATAATTGAGGATTTCAAACAAGCAATGTTGTTGACGTTTCAAGTTTTTGTAGAAAAAACTACTCAACTCTTCACTCACCACCTTTTTATTTTTTGTAATGCAAAAATATCGAACTATAATAAAAACCTCACAATAAAATATCACTTGAATATATTCTCACTCATTTAGCTTCATTCTTCGAAAATTCTTTCTAATTGCACATCTCAACATTTAATGAACCTACGTACAAAATGTCAGCCTTCGAAAATATACCGGTATGGAGAAACAGTGATGAAAAGGCACCCTAGTTGGAATATACAAAACATTTTTTTTCCTAGTGAACATCTACAAAATTTCTGCCTCCGAAAATATAGCGGTATGCGGTATGGAGAAATGCAAAGTTGCCAACCGTAGCGGAATTCCGCTACTGTGGCGGAATTTACTCGACGGTAGCGACGGTAGCGGTAGTGGAGTTTTCTACAAATAACCAATATTGAAAAAAAAATGGAAGAAGAGACAGTGGACAGCACTCGAAGGTGACAGCTGACACTTGAATAATTGAATGTACAGTCAATACGTTATAGTCTCAGTAGCTGAGGCCATCACATGATGATCGAGAAGAATATTTTTGGATATTTTCATTCATATCATCACAGCATAATTGTTAACTATGCTGTGATATCATGAACCATGTAACCTCGACTAGCTCGAGTATTATAAATTATATGGAACAAATTACAGTGGAAATGGAAGATAGTTCATCTGATTGTAGCTCGAGCGAAAAAGCTAACTCAGTTAAAATTGACACATGTTCAAAAAAATACTAAAAGTCTCACAAACAAACTTTTTCCCAACATTGGTTGTCTGATTCCAACTTGAAAGGATGGATTAGATCTGTCGCGAATGATCGTTCAAGAGATCAGTGTGACTATACGTACGTGAACGAATTGATATTTATTTTTAATTTTCAAAATCATTATTTCAAGCTAAGAAATATTCGGTCGAGACGACAGCTTTCAAAAATTAACTGCTGTAAATTTAGAAAATTAGGTCCATCTACTGAGATACGCGATTGAAAATTAGCATGATCCTGATTCCTAATACTAGCGACAGTTCAGTTTTGTTATATCTGACCGGTACACAAACTACTAACTGTAAGTTCTGTGGTGTTTCATTTTGGATAGGGCGCATGCGCGAACTGATTCCGTCAGATACACAAGCGTAGCGGAATATGAAGCAGTATAGCGGAATTTTGGTTCATGTGTAGCGACTTTATATTTCATCCAGTTGGCAACATTGAGAAACAGTGATGGAAAAGTTATTTCTATGTATTAACTCGACCCTTCTATCCCCAGTGGGGGCGCCCCATTTGGAATATTCAAAATTTCCTTCTTATTGCACATCTACAACATGAAACGAACTTGAATACAAAATTTCAGACACCAAAAATATACAAATACGTAGAAACAGTGATAACTTTATTTTATGGGCGGGTTTTTTCGTCCACGGCTGGCGTCCTAGTTAAAAAAATCTTTCCTAATTGAACATCTTCCACATACAACGAATCTAAATACAAAATTTCAGCCTAGCCTCCGAAAATACAGCGGTACAGAGAAACAGTGATTAAAAGGTAATTTTCATATGTAAACATGCACCTGTCATCCCCAGGATGGGGCGCTCCAGTTGAAATATTTGAAAATCTTCATCAATTGCACATCTACACCATAAAACGAACCTTCATACAAAATTTAAGCCATCGAATATATAACGGTACGGAGAAACAGTGACGAAAAGGTAATTTCCATATGTAAACGCACCCTTTTCATCCCCAGAAGGGGATCCATAGTCGGAAAATTTGAAAATCTTTTCAATTGCACATCTACAACATATTTAATTTCGGGGGAAAGTTTATTGTACAACCTTTGCCCAGTTACAGTGGGTGGTTTATATAAAAGATTAGTTCTTGAAAATGACACATGTAAATCATTCCGCTGTCTTGTATTGACATTGGGAATTTGTTTATTGGTTTTGAGTTTAAATTACATTATACATAAATTACAAAATACAAAAACTCACACTTCAGATATGTACAAACACGGCAAGGTTAAGATTTGATAGGTTTAAAAAAAAGTCTACAACTAGATGTACAAGAGTCACCAGCGATACAACGAATCCATTTTTTCTGCGATATACCAAATTTTAACTTCCTAGGACTCTTCAGTAATGATACACAGAGATAAATGATCAAGTGAGTGATTTTCGCATTTATATGTATAGATGAAAATCTTTCTCTTTCCTCCAACTCCCCAAACATGTGAAACTGATCCTAGGTTCAAATTCACAAACATATTTTACAAAAATAAAATACATACATTCACAATGGATACACTTTCAGAGAAATCTAATAATCCCAACATCAAACATAGTATCATGTTACTTTTCCATTAAAAATATACGTTCCACATGCACTACCTGCAATTCTCGCAAAAACCGTTAGGTAAATGAATAATAAATGAAATAATCAAAAAACTGAAAAAGGTTATTATCCATCATAAAGCTCTACAGTGACATTGAAAATAAATGAATCGTGAAAATTACTAGGTGTTGGTTTCGGAGACACAGTGGCGTACTATACGAATAAGGAGAGTTGGATGTTGGGGTTGATATATTCGACTCTGTGCAAATATTAACCATTACTGTGATCAATTTAGATGCATTGTTTCTCCAAAGAGGGAGAAATGAAACTGATACATACTTACGGAATTATATAAAAATACACTCACTTGGACACTATAAAGGGAAACTCGTGTTTTCAAACTCGATTGATAAAAACTACTTTTATGACGAACTCGTTGACAAACCTAAAAGCTCTGTATTTTAAAGATAACTAGCAAAACATAAAGTGTGCTACATTTTTACAAAGGTTATTTTAAGCTCTATTGAAATATCCAGGAATATAGAGGGTGTCTATAAAAATAGTTTTCCATCAATAACTAGTAGTAGAAGTAGTATTTATTTATTTAAGTTACGGTAATTTACAAACGTTCAATAAAATAATAATACATACTATTTTATAAAATCAACTAGAAAACGTTTAATTGCATATATTACTCTCATTTCGTCGGTTTCTCTTAAAGATATAAATTTGATACTTTTTGAAAGTAGTCTTATATGAAATAAACCTCCTTTCTTTTCTTCACACTTTGCATTCATTCATTTGCTTTGTGTTTGTTTAGGAACTTTTCTCCAATTTTTTGTATTTTTACTCTTTAATAGACATTCTTCTCGCAACATTTATCCTTCTTAGAAACGTAATGAATCCTATAATTGAATACCGTTGTTGGTACAGCACATTTCAGTTTTTAAAGAGTTTTTCTCAATCCTATTTCTATTTTTTCATTATAAATAGAAGGTTTTATAATGCGAGTCTTGTATTTTCACTGAATAATAATAATATAATAACCTCATCGTAATACTCTCGATTTACAAAATGTGTAGAATGATCATTGTAAGTAGAAAGAATGAAAACATTTTTGAGTTGAATACGTCATGGTAAAAATGAATTGATTCATCAACATATAACAATTCCCATTCAGTTTAATTCATGCATCAGTGCTAGTCGAATAAATACTTGGATTAACTTTAATATTTATCATCATTAAAAACAGCATGACACTGACTAGTGCACGTCACCGGATAAATATATCATTGTCTGTTTCCGATTGATAAATCATCCGCTGTGATTAAATCTTTCATTACATTTTTTTACCATCATTCAGATGGATCCACTGATGGATATTGGATTATGAATCGTATTGTATTATGAATTCATATGTGCAGAATCTGAATGGCACTCTGAGGACTAAAATGGATTGTACAGAGTATTGTCAATTATTGATTTAATACTCGAATGTAACGAGTTTGAAACCTAAATCAAGAGAATATATTGTTCATCCAGGTCTGTGACACTTTTGTCAGAAGTGATTATATCATTGTTTGTTGGAATTCATGTTGAAGGTTTGGAATTATCAATATCGAAATACGTTTGGTTCTTCATTTCATCATAACTCCATATATGATGGGTGAATTTATCACAAAATGTTTCGTAATGAAATTTTGAATATAAATGCATCGAAGTTTTTCAATATATTCATCTATATATACAGGGTGTTACATAGAAGTACAGCTCATGTGAGTTAAGTTCATTTCCAATGGAATGCCGCCTATTGTTTTCCATACAAGGATTCCGCAAGAGAAGTACTTTTGAAAAATAAAGTATTTTATGGATACATACCGAGCAATTCAGAAGTTATTCCAAAAATATCGTTGAAAACTGAAACTTCAATTATATGTTCTATTTTTCTCTACTTATTTTATCATTCAATATGATATAGTAATATGCCTTTATTATCTATTTATTATGATACATTGCCAAACAATTTGATATTGCATTACACATTAATGAACACATACTATAAAATCATTCGTGTATTAGATTTGAATCATCTACTCTGTATTAGAGGGACTGAAAAGTTCGTATGCTAACACATGACTATACTAGTATTGACTCCATATAATTTTCAGTTAACTCTAACCTTCAAAAGACATGTGTTTGAATTTCCCAGCTGCCGGACTATCAGTTTATAGAATATTGAGCTAAATAACTTTTGTTGCTTTCAATAGGCGATAAAAATATTGTTATAGCCAGAGCTCGCCTTGATAAACATTGTGAATTTTAAAATATCTGTAGTATTTCCTGGAACCGGATGTCACGCAGGTAGCTATAGCTGCCCCCATGGTGATGTTCGTGGTATTCTTGTGAACACAAAATCTATTAACTGAAATCACAAATGTGCGGCTGGCTTCTGCTGACGGCTGCGTGCATTTCTAGTTATTTTGACAACGAAGTGATGCCTATCCTTGCACTTGGCTGCACAATAATCAGAAATGATTCTTGAATAACGAAATTAGTTAGTTCCCTAACTATATCATTAAAGGGGAGGGAGCTGTTGGAAGGTAGGTTGCACTATATTGTTTACTTGAACTATACATATTTACTGAAATTACGCTACGCCCAACGATTTCATTATTTTTTAATCTGATCAATAACGTAGATTGACGAGGAGAGTGGTGTGATGACTGCCACCTAGGACCTTCCGAATTATTAGTTTTTAGTATACAATCTACATTTTTTTTTTCAATAAAACCGTTCAACATAAACCATTTTTTTCACTTATTTTATTTTCAAGTTTTGAGTTAATAATTTTGGCAATTTTTTTGCTTGGTGTATCAACTGACATTGGAAATGGTCGGCCATCCTGCTCCAAGCAATGAGCAGCTGTCAAAATCCATCGAGGATGTATCAAACTACCCCCGCATATCGTCAAAAAAGAGTTACTAACGTTGAGCATGATACTAGCCTGGAAAGGCACTTCTCCCAAATTGGGTTCTATTGGCTTATGAATTCCCTGAAAATATCATCACGGAGTTAAAAGTCATACGTTGAATCACAATGATAAGTGGTTCTGATTAACTGATTCATTTTTACAATATAATTGATTATTTTTGATTTGATTATTCATTTTATTGTTTGAAATTGACTTCAGCATTTGGGGTTTTATCACAACCATATGATAGTGCATTGGATTATCCCAAGGATAAAACACAAGCACTACAGTAAACTTCTTGAGACACTCTAAGAGTGGTGCCTGTGCGAAAGTAGCGATTCACGTTGAATTTCAATCGCTGGAGATTCATTTGGAAAAACGTTCTCAGGAATTTATACCATATAAACCATATATACCAAATGAACTGAGATGAACCTCAAAACGATGAACAGCCACATTCCGTCGCATATTTCTGATATGTACCGCTCTTGGTGGAATCAAATGTGCCAAGTCATTGAAACACCTCCCGTGAACGTATCTATAAAACTTTGATGAATATCCAACCTTTCATCGATGCTTCAAACTATCAAGGCTGCAAGTAATGTTCGTGTCTCCAATCAGGCAGATGGCTCTTTCTGAATGGAATCCAGCAGCTTCAGGGTATGCTTAGGAGCCGAGCTCCATATATGTGAACAAAACTCGAAGATAGGTCTGATTTGAGCTTCATACAGCATCAAAAGTTGCTGGGGATTGTACAGTCTTCTGGTTTGAAACAGTATTTGGGAAGCAGCCTTTGCAATTCCAGCGACATGATTGTGCCAAGGCATATTGGTGCCCATTTCAACCCTCCTAACAAACTTATCGAAGCAGAAAGCGGAATTGTCTGTTCTGATATTATATCCGGTTCGGAGACATTTATCTTTTTGGAGAAAACAGATGCTTGGATTTTCGTGGCACTGAATTGAACCTGATCACTTTCACCCCAATTCGAGATCACCTTTAGATCCTCATTAAGATATGCAACCTCCTGCTGCCGGTGAAGATGTGCATCCACAGTCGATATCCTGGTATCCAAATGGAATGACGAAACGAGTGTGCTATCGTCAGTAAAGTAATATATTTGATTTTTGTTGCTCCCAGTAAAGGGTTGTAGACAATATGGATTCCTGGGGAACACCAGCGTTGATAACAGTAAGGGTTCGGTCATCTGGGACTGATGTAAAAATTGATAACAATATTTCATGACTCATACTATTTGGCTTTGATGTTACTTCAGAGGTTTTTTTAAGTAGGTGACTCAATGTTATGAGAAGAAAAATGCAAGTTGGGACGTTCAACGCAGTTGTTTCACAACCTAATGGTATGTCTGACATCATGGTATGTCTGAGTATTATAACAAGATGAACTGAAGGACATTTCCAAAAACGCATAACCTCCTCCAATTGATAATAGCAGCATTCATCAAGGAAATCAAGATAGGATAAGAGATTCAATTGTTGGGTACAACAATTGTACATGAACAAATCATTGGTTATTTCAGTAAAATCTAAGGTGGAACTAAGCTAAAACATTGCATTACTAGTGTAAAGATTCCATAGCCAATGTGAATTATGTGGATCATGAACTTCGAAAAGCTGAAAGATCAGAGTGTATGATGGTAAGTGGTCGAACACATAATAACGAGGACATGTTTGAACAGCAGAATAACTACTGCCAACAGCTGAAGTACAAGAATGTCAATGTTCAAGAGGCGTCGCACTATAAAAATCATATACGTGGTACAACTGTAAGGATATAGAGAGAAGTATATAGACCTGTGAACGAAGAAGGAGATTAGAAAAAGCAAGAAGAAAGACAATGATATGAAGCTGGTTCAACAATGAGGTTCGACCCGATCTTCACTAAGTTGCCAAGTATGGTGCAGATATCAAAATTTTCAGGGTGTTATGGGGTTCTCTCCCAACTAGCAATTTCGTATTTTATAATAGTTGCGGAAACGTTTCGGAGAAACAAATTATAAAACTGCAAAAAGTACACCCGAATTTCCATAGCGGCATTGCCAAATTATTCCAGAAAAACCTATTTTGCAGACAATATTGTTTTAATTCACCACCCGCATGTCTACAGCAATCAAGTGGATTTTTTTCAGGAATAGTTAGTCAATATCACTATAATTTCTGGAATCTCAACTTTCGGAAACAATATATAGGGTGCTCGGTGAAACCGGTCAAGTTTCATTCATTTTCAAACAGACATAATTCAACTTTTTTCAAGAGGAACACCCTGTATTTTTTTATTTGCATGAAATTGTTCAACATTGCACTCTATTCTTTATCAGAGGTATACTATACGAAAAATTGATTCTATAAATTATATCGAGTCATTCATTTGTCCATTTATGTTATTTGCACTTGTATTGTCCTTATTTTTGATCATGTATAAATGCCATTATTTATATTATCATTATTATTATTCAAGACTGAAGGCATGCAAGTAAAGTCTGAAAATAGGCTCACTGAAATGTGCAGGAAATAGGTTAGCATAGTTACTTAAGGTGGGATTAATGCTTATAGAGAATACTACGGAATATTTGATATTCTATATTTTAAAGAAGGAAAATAATAGTTTAAAAATTGTTTGATATTTTCAGCAACTGACATATTAAAATTAATAATATATAAAATGGTGATTGACAAATTCAAATCATCAGTCATCTTCGTGGCATCGTGGATCGTTGTGAGTTTTGCTTCAAAACTTTCAGATTTTCAAAAAACATATTTTTCACTCAGAACGAATTTGTTTCAATTCATCAATATCTTCCAAAATATCACTGCCATTTTGGAAATTGTATGGATTGAAAGTTTAATTCAAGACATCCTTTCTTGTGAATATCCATGGTTAAATTATAAATAATTAATTGGGAAACAAAAATATTTTATTTTATGTTTTAGGATATAAACGTTTTAATTGATTTATTGAAATAATAATGTTTCATTGAAATAATAATGTTTTTTAGATTAATGTTATCTTTCATAAAACAATTGTCCAGGGTTCCTACCATACAGGTGACTACAGTGGTTATTCAATACCTTTTGCAGAATAATAAGAGTACAAAATTTTTATTGCCAGTCATATATATCATCTGCACTCAACAATGAAGTAATTTCATATCCACTTCATTTTAAACTCTATGAAAAACTAAATAATTTATCAGAATTCAAAAACTGATGTCAAAGAAATTTTTTGATAGTGAATGCACAGAAAACAGTTTGTATGCATTTCTATTCTAGGTAGAGATATCTCTGGTATTCAACTGGTTGTCATAAATAGTACTGTTCATCTTTCTGAACCTTTAACTTAGATAGTATAATGAGTTGGGAGAACAATATTGATGCCATAAGCAAAGAAGTGAACACAGGTTATTATGCTATAATACAATCAATTTTTTTCTGATTGATGCAACTAGTTTTCCCTTATTTTCAATGTTTTAATATTGACACAAAAAGGATTTGAAGCTTCAATAACTTCTAATTATTATATGCGAGCGCTTTCCATGGCATCTTCATGGCTCTACTCAATCTGAACGTTTTATCTTCTTGTTTGTTATTTTATAAGGATAGATCGTCTAGGTGAATTTGTTATTATTGTTGATGGTTCATTAATTAGGGCTTGGGCAGGTATTTGTCCTCTCCTTTCATTCGGATGTCTCATTAAATTTGCCTGTACTTATCCTTTGTGTTGGTGTTTCTCTAGTTTGATTATTTCTAGGAATGTGTATTGTATTGGTTACTATATTGAATGATATATCTTGTTGTGTTTTGAATTGTATTTGTTCCTTGAAAAGTGAATTTTGACTTTTGAATTTATGGATGTTTAGGTTTTCTCAGATGTTCATATGGTTTCCTTTATTGACGTGTATATAATGAACCGAAACCGTGTTAGGAATCACACGTTGAAAGGTAAGACCTCGTTAGTCCTTAGCTCGCACAAGTTTCTCAACTACTGAGAGTTGCCGTCTGTATGGAGGTGACAGCTGATTAACGGAAAACAGACTTCAAACAGAACAGAACAGATCGTAACAAGTAAGTATCGTAAGTGGAAATTAGACAAAAGTTATTTTGTTTATCCTATATTCAATACGATTTTCTACAAAATGAATAGGTCATCAATCGAACACCTCAAATCTAAAATGTACAGTGCTTCATTTAAAAAAAGTCATTAAATCTTCTGGGTTAGACTAAACCTAAAGAGAAAACGGCAGAATTAGCAACCCAACCTAACAAAGGTGTGACCTATGTAATATATTTTCATTTGTATTTTCATATCATTTGTAAGTGTTTCTAATCTTGGGCTGTAAAAAATTCATGTCAGTTTGAAAATAAACAGGTAGAATTTGTAAACCAATAATTTTTTTGGTTGTTGCTTGTATGTTATTTCTTTGTAATTTCAGTTATTTGTTTAATAAAATTGTTATTTTTCGGTTAATCTTTTTGATTTCTTTACACATTCTTTCAGGGATTTCAAATCAATTTATATTATATAAGACAATGGAAGTCCGAACTAATAAAATTCATTAGACAGTGTTCAATTAGAGGCTACATGAACAGGTGCATATAATATTTTGTCACGTTTCATGCAAAAGGAGGGTTCTGGATCACAGGTGGAAAGCAGTTTATGGTCACTCTAAATTATGTCCAAAAGAATATGATACACAGAGAGGACACCCACATTATTGAATGTGAAGACACCCAAATGCACGACAGAACTCATAGCGGCGATAGAATTTTATAAGCACCGAAACAACTCAATCCGAGAGAAAGAGTTGTCCTTTTTGAGATTTTTTTTCAAAGGGCTCTATTCTGTATATTATAATCAACTATCATTGAATCGACTGTTATTGAATTATGGATTCATAAACCACGACAAGAAACGGAAAATGATTTCGAATGAACTGAGAATTTGAATATTCATGATGTGACTTTCCAACAATATTCCCTCTTCAACCTTTGTCGCGGTAACGAAATTATGCTAGACAAATAACGAAGGAATTTATAACAAGCGAAACATGTACAATGTATATG